CTTGTTGCGAGCCGTTCTTTGGCTTCAATCTTCCATCATCCTTGATACCTAACTCAATATAATACCATCTACCCCTATGTGATCACGATCAATGTAATGATCATCGTGATTAGGTATGACACATAATGGCCCATTCATGATCAAATCGTTCTCCCTTTCTTCGAAATGATTCGTCCTCGAATTGTGATTCATGTGATTACAAAGGAACAAATTCTTCATAGTCATGTTTGTCTTTTTGTTGTACGATCCTGGGTGTTTTAGAAAGTAGTGTAATCGATCAAATACCATAACCTTTGTTGAAAGTTTATCACCAAAAACCAAATCAACGTGTTCAATTTCTTCATATGAATGCGTGAGAGTTGGGTCTTCATGATCATCAACCACTTTGAGCGAACAAGGTGCAGGAACAGTAGGGATTGAAGTATCCATAGTGCTAGAAAAATTCTCCACAACTACATCAACATCGTTGTCGTTTGCCACTATACCTTGGACATCATCACCAATGTCTTGTTCATGTAGCATCAACGTCTTGGAAATAATTTCCTTCGGAGGAGGATCATACAAGCAATACTCGTCTTCATCACGATATCGCGTGATCCCCACAACCTCTTGACGCCTAGGAAACCTCGCATGTTCAAAGTCATCATCGATAGGAACATCAAAATAGTTATATAAAGTACCAACGTCCTCAGTATCAGAAGCTTCATCATCATCAACAATATAGTTATCAAGACTAGCAACTCCACTAATTTCATAGTAATTCTGTCTTGAAATAGAGTTTAAGGAGCGATGAACTTCTTCCTTAGTTGGCACAATCATATTTTCAAGTATGTCATAGAAACTATTCATGTACTCAACCTCTTCTTGTAAGTCTTCAACATAATGATCATAGTATCGCATTGTACCTTTAGCTCTGAGGTCAAATTGATATGAATCTTTATCCGAGGCACGATTATTGCGGAAACTTGACTTGAAAAGTTGCCCGGATGTTTAAATCTTTGTATAACCACGAAGTAAAACCTATGGAAGCACACAACTACGAAAAAGAACAACTCGACCAACAAAAATCCAAGCTAAAAACAAGATGGAAGGGAAGCAAAATTTGGAGAAGGTGTTTAAGATTTGAAACCCTAGTCAAAACGACCTAAAACTCCCCTCACGTTATAGATCAACGTTAAAAGGCTTGGTGTGCTCAACTAAAATGTCAAATAAAGCATCCACAGACCAAGAACACTTGAAAACTTGGCTAAGGTTAGCTACGCTTCAAGAACAAACCCTACTTTGTTGGAAAAGCAGCCTATTCTCGCAAGAATATGAAAGAAAGGAGAGATCTCACAAGTTTATGAATAAAATTCTTTATTATTGAAGTCATATCATATTCTATGTAAAATTCATGACCAAGGCCCCTATTTATAGGCCAAGGAGCTGCCTAGGTCGGCCAATACAAAGAGAAATCCAATTTGAACTCTTATTTGGATTTCTTGGTCTAAAAATTTCCTAAACTTCCAAAAATAACTAAAATAATAATTAAATAAATAATTACACATGCCACAATTATTTAAAACATTCTAGTAGGTTCTAGAAAGCATAAAGAGTCGGCCATAATCACAAAATTACGGAATAATCATTTTCCTAATCGAATTATGAAAATTCTCCAAATCTGCCCGTGCACTGTCGGCCTTGTCGTCAACCGACATTCTGTCGACGCTCTGCTGTCGACTTGTCTGTCAATGTCTTTATCTCGACCAAAAACTCGACGCCACCTTATCAACTTTATTTTCGACTTGAGTTTGGTTTGATGCGAGCCGTTCTTTGGCTTCAATCTTCCATCATCCTTGATGTCTACCTCAATATGATACCATATACCCCATATGTAATGCCTACCTCAATGTAATGCCTACCTCAATATGATACGCATTCATGATCACATCATTTACTACCAAAATAAGTTTTCAAATCAAATTATGTGTTTGATAACTCAAAAAATTAATTCATTGTCTACCGAAATAAAAAATATTTATAAAATAATCTCGTAAATCTCCAAAAAGTTTTCCGCCTTCCTTTTTCCAGTCAAAAAATTTATTTAGAGAAGAAGAAGGATGCTTAGCATTTTTTGTCTATGGAATTCACCAATTACAGTTGAAGTTCTCTAATTTAATAATGTTTAGAATACCAAATTTATTGATTTTAGAAAATTATTAAATAAAATATAAATTAATAATTAATTAATTTATGAGTTTTCTTAAGGAAAAAAATCCTTAGTAATTAACTTAATTTTCAATTATCTTTACCATCTAAATCAAGAAGTGTTGAAACTATTTTTGTTACCAAAATATCCATAAATAGTTCATATTGTTTTTAACGACTAAGAAAACTAGCACGTATCAATAGTTTATACTTTCGTGTATATATAGCTATTATTATTATTAATATCATTATTATTATTATTATTTTCATTTTTGTTAAGTATTAATTTATAAAATTTACCAATATAGGATATTTATAAAATATTATTGTTTTATTTAATTTATTAATTTTAATCACTTTTGTATTAGTTCCAAGTTGGGATGGACAAAAATTATTAATTACTCAAATTTATTAATTTAGTGGCATTTTACTGTTATAATTGTTTTAAGAATTGATTCAAAAAATAACTCAAATTCAAGACTCATTTTTAGAAAAAAAAAAAAAATTGGAAAGGCATTTTTAGAATCCCGATTGTAGAATCTAATGACATAATAATAAAACGAAGGCTTCAGTTTTAAAAAATAATAATAATCGGAAAATGATAGAAACCAGGAGTTATTACCTTAGGCCTTCTTCACTAGAGATTCGATATGAAAAAAGAGTAAAATTTCATACTTCAAGTTAGGATGACAATTCAATAAATAATTGAAATATAGATATGTAGAAAGTGAATGTGAAATTTGAAGCACATTACGAGAAGCGTGAATGATTAAAGTAGATTACGAAGTCAAAATTGTTTCTGAACAAGAAACTGTCATACACGATCTCATCTTTGAGAGAAGGACTAATTAACATGCATGGTTGGGAACATTCTTAAGCACTAGAGCACTTGGCCTCCAAATCTTAAGCGAGATAAGATTAACACTGCTTAATTATAATAATGAGGGTACTCAAGGGACAAAAGTTGATTTCCAAGTGTTGTAATGCCAGAGATGGACCGCAAACTTCCAAAGCTGTTACATACATAGAGGAACACACGACGAACAAACTTTGGTGACATTTGCAATTGTGCAAAAGGAATTCAAGATTGTCCCCACACACTGAGACACTTTTCAAAATCAACTATTTGAGTGAACTCCAGCTTCTCTGATAGAAAAGCACGGAATGAAAAACAAAATTCCCAGTGATGGAGAAATATGGTGTGACGTGTTCAGCTCCAGCCTTTGAAACTCTGTTGTCAAAGGGATACTGAAGCCACCTATCCAATTCCACTTGAAAAGAATCATTCAAATCAAAATAAATCGTGAACTTACTGAAAACGGGGGATTTGATGGGACTCAAGAACCTTAATTCATCCAGTTCACGAAATTCGGCCTTTCACACAGGTCCATACATGCTTCCATCTTTTGACAGAACACTTGTTCTGCCAACTTCTTTGAGCATTAGAAACGATAAGATACAACAAATGATATCATTGGAAGCTGACTTATCCGGTCTTCATGTATGTACCGTTTCAGAGTGTGTTACCTAAGAAACAAATTGAACATGGAGATATGGAGAAGAATAATCATAAATGTCTGATGTTTATGTATATGCATACTTAGTTTTACACGGGTCACCAAAGAAACAAATCGAACATGAGATATTGAGAAGAAAATAATCACAAGCACAAAGACCTCGGCGGTGCAATAAACTGCAAGTAATCCAACAAATTCATTACAAATCTGAATTTTACTAAAATAGCAAAGGCCAAAAGATTTGGAAACATTATGATAGGTTTTCAAGTAAAGGAAATAAACAACAATGTGATATGAACAAGCGTTCCATTACAAATTTGAAGGTCTCGCGCGCAGTGCAAAAAGTTTCGAAAAAATACAAAATTTTTTAGAAGAGCGGAAAAACAAAAAGAGCTGACAAAAAAAAAAAAATTCCAATGTTCAAAAGAAAATCACAACTTTATCATAATTCAGGCAAAATCAGGCAAAATTCAAGTTACGGCGGGCTTAATTATGTGAAACAACAAAGCGAGTGGACTTATTATCTCTTGGTGTCAAAAATATCCCAGCAGGTTCAGGTCTTTATCCATCTCTCCGAACAAGTTCAAATCTTCATTCATTCCTTCATCAAGTCCCGATCAGCCATCAATTTTCATTTTCCATCCCGGCCCGAAAACCGGAGTATTTAGGCTTCTCGACGGCTGCCTTCACAATAATCTTCATGGACTTAAACGAGACTTTAAGCATGAATATTCAGTGGCAAAGTTCTTTTCCCTACTTAAACATTTTGAGCGTTTTGGCTCTGAATCTGTCAATTAGATTTTAGGTGTAACCACATTTATTTCATTTTATTATAAATGAATGACAGGATTCAAGAGTATCCCACCATGATTAAGGTGGGGAAAATAATCATTGACTGGACATGGATAATCAGATGGATCATCTACTTCTTCTACATCCGGAGGCCGTGAAGGTGATTTCCGATCTGTCCCTCCTATTGGACATGGATCATGTGGTTCAGGTGATTCGCGATCCGTCAGGCCGAGAAGACAACTAGGGTCTGGGAACCATTGCCACCATTTTACTTGAAAGAATGTTGAACACAGAAAAATTGTTGAAGTAAAATTTGATTACCGATGAACCGAAATGTCAACTGCTTTTACTTAAGAACCAAAGGAAGAACCAAACAAACATCTGTTCATGTTTTTCCTTTTACCGTGATTACTGTTATTTATTGAAGCTTATGGAAATCTTCCTAGGAGCTAGTGAATTGCAGAGGAATCCTTAGTGTGCGTTAAGAGACAACCCTAAAAGTGTTGGCAAGGAAGATTAACCAGGAAAAAAGAGATTCCTCGTGGAATCAGTAGTTACTGATAGTATGAGCCGAAGCTACATAAAAAGGAATACATAAAGAACTTGTCAATGTAAAATGTACTTAGCTTATGATTAGTACTCGGTTGAATTCTAAGAGTCTGAACAGAGAACACTGTTGTTTCAAATTCAGCAGTTTCAACAGAAAATCCTAGTTTACAAAGGCATTGGTCACTTTATAGATTATGCAATTGTATGTAAGACCTATCAGCCGTTCATACCAACGAGGAACAACACTTTGCTCAGAGCATTTACTCCAACTTCCCGCCAATTTTCAGTTTCTAGATCTAGTCTTAATACATTTATATCCACAAAAAGAAAAAAGTAACTAACAAGTGAAGCGAAAGCACTTTTTGTTACATACTACCAAGAGTGTACATCCAGATTCCAGAACCATCATTTGATCTGCTAATGAACTATGTTGATGAAGAAGAGTCAACACGCTTCTTCACAAAAAGCTTGCTTATATCCTCAGTAACAACATTGCTCCTGTAAGAAAACCATTTCAGATTAGAAAATGCCTAAAAACCGTACAACAAATAGTTTTATTTTTGGGCATTCTAGTTCAGCACATATACAACAGAAAGTACACAACTAAAAGCAGCAGTAAATTGAACTTCAAAATTCAAATCAGCTAGCAGTTACCTAAGGCTTGGGTTGAGGAGCAGATCAAGTGACAGATAAATTGAAGTCTATACAGAACAAACAAAGACGTAAAAATGAATTATGAAAAATTATAGAGAGGGGCTGATAATTTAGAAATCCAGGCTCATCAGACCTTTCCCTTTTCCTATAAAGTTAGGATCTTCAATGGTGCAAATGATCACAAATTTCTTCCCCCAACCCAACCCCCCTTTTCCCCTTCTACTCCCACAAACACACGAAAAAAAAGCAGTGATTCTTTTGATGCCAAAAGGATGTAGACTAATCATAACATTCTGCTAAGAAGGCTAACATGTAGAAGTCAGAGAAAAATATAGAACTTTTCTTAACCTGAGAGAAATTCCTACCAAGGTAGCTAATATTGTTTCAACCAATGAAATTGAAAACAACATTTAGCTTTCATTCAATACATGTAGCAAAAAACATAACATGCAAGGGCATGGCAGAGAGCATCTGCAAGCTAAAGCATATATGGACAAGAAAAAAACACTTCAACAATGATAGGAACTGGAGATATCTACAATGGTATGCCATTAGTTTCTCCACTCAACACAAAAGAGGAAATTTCAGGATATCATAAGTTACCAAGCAGAAGGTAGTGAACAGTAATCTCTATGCAAAATATAATGTCTCAACAGATGAAAGGCTTGATTCTGTAGTCAGTACATCCCAGAAGATTAACAGGAAAACTGGTAAGTAAAGTTACTGAAGCTTGGGGAAGCATGATAACACAAGGACAGGCAGAAGTTCGATCAGATAACATCATGTTGATTTGCTAGATAAATGTCTGTTCTATTGCCATTAATTCTTAAGTCCTTCGGTTGCCTAGTAGGTGAGACTGCCCAAAGCATTAGAAAGTAGGAAATTTTCAACCTAAGCACAAGTGAGTTATCTTAAAAAGCAAATTATTTTTATCCAAATCCAAACAAGGGCCAAATCTTTGAATGGAGGTTTATCCGCAGTCTCATGGAAGGCATCAGCCTTTGAATGCAAAATAATCAGTTTGAGGGGGAAAAAAACACATACATAAAAAAAACAGAGATTTCCCCATCAGTTAACTTGGAACTTAAAAGAGAACCAAAAGCTTCTAATACAGAGTTTACAGAGAACTAATAGCTTCAAAGGCAGCTAGAGGCTTCACATTTTAACTTATAATGAAACAATTAACATCCATACAGTACAACAATCTCCACATAATGCATTCACTCCCATTTAAAAAGATTTAAGTGTTGTAATATGCCCAGGTGACTGTCACTATCCTTTTAATAGGAGCCTAGAATCTTGATTAATTAAGCAAGGACCGCTGTGCAGTCCAAAATTCAACAATTTATTAACTGTTGTATGCAGGGAATTTCAATGATACCTCTAAACTAATACCAAATACATCTCATCACTTTCTTCCCTAATGATATCACCTGCACGTATTTCTTTTTCCTTTTTCATCCAACCAGGTAAGCAGCAAGTACATCAATAGCTTCATGACACTGAATGACACAAAAATTCCTTTCTATATATTCCATTAACTAAGTTCGTATTAATCAGTTTACAGCTTCTTAAGCAAGCCAAGAAATCATGTTATATCCAAAGGAGTAATTTTACAAAAAGTAGATTTTTCTTAAACAGTTAAACAATGTTACTATGCCCGTCTATTATGTTTGACAGCAGCAAAGAATAGAATAGTGAGAAACTAGTAGAGATGGTGGAAATTCACGAGAAGAGATAGAACCATAAGAAGTTTAGATTGATGATAAATAAAATGGAGGAAACGGCAGAGAATAAGTTATAACAGAAAGTACAATTTGGAATAGAACATAGTTGATATGGAAAAAAGCTTTTAAAACATTACATGGTTTATCTGCTAGTTTCAATAAAACTTTTAGTGGGTAAGATACACATTTCTTACGAAAAGGTATTAAGTATTTTCTTTGAGAGAGTATTTTAGCCTAAACATGAGTACATTTAGCTGATGTCTGATGTCTAAAATAATTTTAAGCTACTTTTGGTAAAAGGTAGTATATCCCTTAGTTACTAAAGAACAAAACGGTTTTGGTTGCCTATATTCTAACAGAGATATACAAAGACCAGGAGGGAAGTCTACAAAATTTACCCTAAAATACACCTGTTAGTACCTCTTTTACCATTTAAACAATAACGTTTCTAACGATTGGATAAATTAGCTGATCTTAAACTGCTGGTTGCACAAAATGGACATTAAATTTCGAAGAACGAAGAAGTAAATTCTAACATAAAAATATTTGGCTAATTCTCTACGAGCCCAGCATGATATGAATACACTCTCTACCTAAATCAACTCTGCGGTCTGTAAAAAAACAGAAGCAGGAAAGAGGAAAAAGCAAGGAGAAAGACAAAACAAAAAGGAAGAGCAAACTTGGTTCCTATGCTTTTGAAGACAGCAGAACACACCTTCCAGCAAGTTGAGGCGGAAGTAGATTACCACCAGTAGTATCTGGGATTCTTTTCGAATGGGGCAAGTTCCCTTTGGGTAATTTGTGTCGAGTGTAACTAGATGATGAAATATTTAAGTCTCTCTTCCTTGACACACTTTCTGCCATAGCAGCTGCAACTCGGGAAGAATGGTCAGTGGCTGCTACATTAGAGGCCAAAGCTGGCGAACTGAGAAGAAAAGCAGCATCGGGGAGTTTCAACATGGGAGCCTCAAACTCTTCCCCTTGCCGATTTACAGTTGCTGTAGAACTCCTACAAACAAATGAAAGGCAAACCTCATTTTCAAAACTATGCATTATGGTTGAAGATCTACAAATACGTCACATACTTTTTCCAAAGAACATGAACAAACTGGAAAACGGACAAAAAGCACTGCAACACTCATAAAACCAATACCACACATTCATTTAACAACATAGCTTAGCTTACACGTGTAAAGCACTAAATCCAACCAATTTATGCACCTAAACAACAACACGTCCACATACATAAGAATAGTAGACATTTACAACATCCCGATTTATGTGCTACATCGTTCCTAACTACCAAAGCGAACGTATTAACATGGTTCTTAAAATAATTCTTTGAAATTCCATTTTACATTCTAGAAACAAAAGATACCATTCTTCACTTGAAAAATGAAATTTTGAGCCTACTATATAACAAAACCATCAAAGCCAGACGAACATACTGCAGTATTCTAAATAGGGTTCTAATAGAAGCGAATCATTAACTACAAATCTCACTAATGTCAAACGGCACCCAAGTCCCAAAGTTAACCGCAAATATTTGAGAATTTCAGTCAAGCACACCAGAAAACAGATAAGAAATACACGAGAAGAAAAAGCCCTACTAAGCACAACTAATACAGAGCCGAAAGAAGAAAAAAAGTAACTCAGGGCAGAAGCTTTTACTGGTTCTGATGCGGAGGATTATGAGATACTCGAAGTTGCGGTTTAGGAGCCGAGGATTGCTCAATTGAAGCCTCAATTCGTTGCCACTTCTCCGGCGCTACTTGTTCCGGGACTTTGGGTTCTTGGTTTCCCTCTACCTCTATAGAAGCAATTGTATTGCGATCCTCTTCTTCATCTGAGGAAGAAGCGTAATCTACCAGCGACATTTTTTCTGCGGAGACTCTGCGCCTGGTGCGCTACCACATCGCCGTCGCTCGTCGGAGCTCAGGAGTCAGGATTACCGATGAAGAGAGCAGACCGGTTTAGTGGAGGAGGAGGTTACGTTTTAATCTAAATACAAGATATTTACTGTGAAGTACCTAGTTTGGTAATGGTAACTTTTTTTTCTTTTTTTTTTTTTTAAAACAGATTAATGGTAACTAAAAAACAGATTAATGGTAACCAAAAACAATTACCAAGTTCCAAGTAGACTTTGATCTGTTTTTCCATTTCTTTTAAAAATTAAAATACACAAGTTAAATATATATACAGTCAAATATATCTATAAATTAATACTATTAGGACCCTAAAAATTAGTAATTTATAAACGTATTAGTATTATGCCCGCACGTTGTGCGAAGTTTACTATATTTTAGAATAACATTAATATACCATTATTTTCTTACGAAAAATGTCATATGTTTTAATTTTTCTGTTTTTTAGTATATTAGGCATTCGAAGTCCAAATTCAAGAGTGTCATATGGGTTCTTTTTTTCGTTTTTGGTATATAGTGCATCCGGTGTTTGAAATTCATTGTTCCAACTAATCTGTCTTCGGATTGGATAGGTCACTTTTGAAAACAATCCTCTCCCAACAATCATTACTGCATACCCATGCACAAAATTAATCATGGATTGTAATTAATTTGGTCCAATACTGTTACCACTTTAATCAAGTAATTCTTAGCTATATAGGGTATTTTAAAATACAAATTAATATATTCAACTATCTAATATGCTTCTTGTTTAGAAGTCTTAGTATATCCAAAAAAATAAAAATAAAAATCTAAATACGAATTAATATGATTAATTGTCTACTATCCTACGTTTTTAGGGATATAAGTGTAGAAAAGTTATTTTCAACAATAGAAATTTAATCATATATATTCTTAAAATATATTGTTTAATTTTAGTAATTGAATCAACTATTATAAATAATTTTTTTAGGCATAAAAAAAATAAAAAAATTCTAACAAAAGTAAATAAAGTACAAAAAATAGGAAGAAAAAACCATGACAAAAAAAAAATAATAAATAATATTTGAAATACTTATCCATACTCCAAACTTTTTTCTTAGTATTTTTTTAATAGAAAAATAGGTTGTGCTTGGCGGGTGCATGACTCATTTTATTTACATGGAGTCATAACTTTTTCCTTAGATATGAGTGCTTTTCGAGGTACTTATTCTTTTGTCGTCACGGTACCACACTTCTCCTATAAAACCTAAACACATAGATAATCATGCACTTAAATTAAATATATTTAACTATTAATATCTCAATAAAGTGTATATTTACCTTCAGACTCTAGAGCAAGAGCAATTTTGCTTTTGTCAATCTGACTCCTTTAGACCGAGATTGATGCATAACTATTTTTCAGCTAAACCCATTGAAATTCTATAATAGCAATGGCGCAAAACATACCAAAATGAGACCCTCGTGATTGTTTAAAAATCAAACCATTAATACTCATAAATATTTGTTAATGACATGCAACAAAAATAATGCTAAACATGGAAAACATAATGCATGTTCTAAAACTGATGTCTCCCCTCTAGAAAAAAAAGTTATGTCAGTAGGACTAAAATTTTCCTTATAATGTCGAAGTTTAAAATGCAACATAAAATAATTAATTAACAATTCAAAACAAAGGGAATATTAATCTACATTTAATGAATCCAGACTTAGTTTTCAAATTGTATTCATAATATAATTATTTGTAACTAATCTCTTTTTATTTTTTAAAAATTAATCTCTTTTTATTTTTAAAAAATATATTAAATGGAATCATCTATAAAATATATTAACCTATCTTATATGTATACAGACTTAGTTACGAATTGTATTTGTAGTATAATTATTTAGTAACTAATCTTTATTTATGTTTGAAAAATATATCAAATGGAATAATCTGAAGAAAAAAAATATGAACATACGTTTAATTTATCTAGACTTAGTTTCATATTGTATTCACATTATAATTATTTAGTAACAAATATATTTTTTGTTATTGGTAACTAATCTATTTCTATTTTTGGAAAATATATCAAATAGAATCATCAGAAAAATATTACAACTTATGTTTAATGTATCCAAACTTAGTTTTGAATTGTACTCGTATAATTATTTGGTAAATAATATCATCGTTTTGGTTAGTAGTCACTTTTTATTTATGGAAAATATACCAATCATCTAAGAAATAATATTAACATACATGTAATGTAGGTAGACTTGGTTTCGTATTGTATTAGCAGTATAATTATTTGGTAACAAATATATTTTTCGTTATTGGTAACTAATCTATTTTTATTTTTAGAAAATATATCAAATAGAATCATCAGAAAAATATTATCAGTTTATATTTAATGTATCCAGACTTAGTAATGAATTGACTCATATAATTATTTGGTAAATAATCTCATCGTTTTCGTAAGTGTAATATCCTCAAAGTTCGACATGTTAGGTTAAACATTAGTATGTATGATTAAATTAGAGTCGTGGCATTTTATCTTAATTTATTAGGATATTGTAGCATAATATGCTATTAGTTTGAAATAAACTAAAGACGGGAAAATCTCAAACGTGACACAAAGAAAATAATACTTGACTAAAAGAAAATGACGAGATCATGTATTTGATAAATGACTTGAGCTTGAGTGATTGAAAACAAAAAATAAAGTGTAGTGGTAAAATAAAATAGTAGAATGTTCTAAAGTGACACCGTAGGTTTCTTGATCATGCTAATTTATTATAAGCGTTTACGCATAAAAAGTATTTGAGGAGAAAATAGGGTTCAGGCCTTCATTAAAAGAAAAAGAATGAATACAGAAGAAAGATACAAGAATCAGATTACTTAATTATTTCTACTGAAATACTCAAGATTAACTCGAAGGCAACATTTTTTTTTTGAAAAAAATGTTGCCTTCGAGTTAATCTTGAGTATTTCAGTAGAAATAATTAAGTAATCTGATTCTTGTATCTTTCTTCTGTATTCATTCTTTTTCTTTTAATGAAGGCCTGAACCCTATTTTCTCCTCAAATACTTTTTATGCGTAAACGCTTATAATAAATTAGCATGATCAAGAAGAAAAAAAGGGGAAAAAGAAAAGAAAAAGAAAAAAAAAAAAAAAACAGTGTCTCCACCGCCTTATACACGTAGCTTCTTGGCCGACTCTTCTATATCATTTTAATTTGTCTTTCTAGTCTAGTTGAGCCATAATTTTATCTAGCCATTTGGTAGACCTTTCTACTTATTAATGCTTCGGTAGGACCAGCTTTGAATCAAAGCTAATATATATATGATAAAATACGTAAGAAACCGTAAGTTTTTACAATTCCTTCTTACTTATAAAAGCTTGAAAATAAAGCTTCCTCATGCAGTTTCATTTCTTCTCCCACAAACCAAAAAAAAAAAAGAAAATGTTTAAAAGAGAGGGCGAGAGAGAAAAAGAAAACGAAGGGAGCAGAAGAAGGTCTTGGTGTTCATTTTCGGCGTTGCCGTAAGTAGTGGCAGTAGCAATAGGTAATTAATTGAGTCCTTTTGTGGTTCATGGATTATTTTGTTTCATCATTGTCTCAATTAATCTAAGAACAAACAAGAAGTTTTGGTTTGGATAAAATAACAGGATTTAGATTTTACCTTAAGTAGATAACTGTCGAATCTTTATATCACTACAAAGACTAGTTAATTACACAATTCTTGTTGCTTAGGTGATAAAAGGGTATTTGGTTTGGACTTTGGATGGTAAAACAAAAGGAGATCGTAAACAAGGGATTCAATTAATATGAGAAGTCGGGTTCAGATTGAAGGCACAAAAGAGGGGCGAAATCTTGCTGCTTTGGTGGCTTAAGTTTGGGAAATGACTTTGCATAGTTCATTTAGCCGTGTCATAAACCAAGAAAAAGCGTCCAGGAAAAGTAGATTTAATCTCCAATTAATTGGTATAGGCAAGTCAAGCTAGAGCTATTGTAATTTTAGCACGTTTAACTACTATATTAGAGTCAAATCTACTTTACCTAATAATTAAAAGAAAAGGAAAAAGAAAGAAAGACTGGACCGATAATGCATAGCCCTTCTGGTTAAATTTGATTAAAACTTACTAGCCTTTATCCTTTCAGAACTATTACTGTAACCTTAGCCCAATTACGACTACTCCTAATTACGTACTAGAACACTTGAAAGAAAAGGACATATGCTTCTAGTTTGATTAGGAAGCCTGAGCATACTAAAGACACAGTAGTAGTAATAATAATAATAATAATAATAATAATAATAATAATAATAATAATAATAATAATAATAGGGAAACAATTAAGAAGACAGAGCACAATAACTAAGAATTAGTCAGCCTCTTAATCATGTCGAACTAGTTTTACTTTGAGTAACTCCATTAAACTTGGTTGCAGAGAAAGGACTTGAAAATTCGAAAGGGCTTAGCAATACTTATGAGTAATTCTCACTCTTTTAAAAACTGGGAGTATGAAAATATATATTTTTAAGTCACTACACCCGTGAGCACATTTTTACATATTGTTAAAGTGTTATATACATATCATTGAATGACCTAGAGGTGTACTTAATCACCACTGGGATACGTGTTCTAAGTGAAATCGTTAATGTGCTTGAACGTTATTGTTAACTAGTTACTGGATTGAGTATAATCGTTGAATGTGTTGCTTCTGGTAGTGTACTTTATCACTCCTGGACAACTATTGATTGATTGTTGTGAAATAATGTTTGATTGTTACTTCAGTGGACTTTGTTCACTTGGAGCCTGGGCCCTGCCTTTGTGAGGCGAAGCTTTAGGGGCCGGCATAGGGCTTGGTCGCCAGGTTTGTTTACCTAGGTTTATCGTGTTGTCCTGATGGACGCGGAGCTCATGAGTATCCAATGGCGGCCATGAGGTATTAAGGAGAAATTGTTATTGATATTGAATCGTTATCATGATCGTTATTGTATTGTTGAAATATGACGTGGAGTCCGTCTCTGTGCCACGTAGGCTCTTTGAGGGCCCTCGCTAAGGTTTCCCCGTATCCATCCCATTGTTACTGCTTGATGTTAAATAGTTGATTCTTTAACGATTATATGCAAAAATCATTCCACCTTTGAATATTATTTTATGAAAATAATTTTATTTAAA